CTGTCTGCTTGTATTACTTATTGTGTTCTTGGCTGTGCAGAAGCTCTTTAGTTTGATCAGGTCCCAATAGTGTATTTTTGATGTTGCTTCAATTGCCTGGGGTGTCCTCCTCATAAAATGTTCGCCCAGACTTTATTCCTTTTGATGGCTACATAATGTTTCTTTTCTTTCTTTTCTTCTCTTTTTTTCTTTTCTTTTTGAGACAGAGTCTCAAGCTGTCCCCCTGGGTAGAGTGCCCTGGCATCATAGCTCACAGCAACCTCCAACTCCTGGGCCCAAGCGAGTCTCCTGCCTCCGCCTCCCACGTAGCTGGGACCACAGATGCCCGTCACAAAGCCCAGCTATTTTTTGGTTGCAGCCGTCATTGTTGTTTGGCGGGCCCAGGCTGGATTTGAACCTGCCACCTTGGGTGTATGTGGCTGGTGCCTTAGCCACTTGAGCCACAGGTGCTGAGCCCTTTCTTTCTTTTTTTAAGACAAAGTCTCACTGTGTCACCCTTGGTAGAGTGCAGTGGCATCACAGCCCACAGCAACCTCAGACTCTTGGGCTTAAGGGATTCTCTTGCCTCAGCCTCCCAAATTAGCTGGGACTACAGGTGCCGGCCACAAGGCCTGGCTATTTTTTGTTACAGTTGTCATTATTGTTTAGCTGGCCTGGGCTGGGTTCAAACCCGCCACCCTCAGTGTGTGTGGCAGGCACCGTAACCACTGTGCTACAGGTGCAGAGCTGGCTACATAATGTTTCCTGGCAGATGTATAATAATGTTTTTAATAAGTTTTGATAGACTTTTTAAAAATATATACACACCAAGGAATACTGTAATAGACATTCAAGCGCTACAGTGTTGCTAACAATGCTACAGTGTTGCTCCAAGAATGCCCTTCTTGTAACAACTTACAAATGTAGCCATGCTTGTTGTATGAATGCCTAGAAAGGAAGGACGCTGTGTCACATGTAATCCTTCCTCTGGAGAAGTTATATCAATTTACACTTGTACCAACAATGTGCCTGTTTCCTATTATAATATCCTCACCTACACAATGGGTTAGAAACTTTTGGATCTTTGTCAATCTGTCAGTTCTAATTAGCATTTCTCTTATAATGAGGGTGATTGAACAACTTTTCATATATTTATGAGTCATCTGAATTCCCTTTCTTATAAACTGTTAATCTCCTTTGCCTATTTTACTATGAGGTTGTTGGTCCTTTTTCTTACCAAGAAGGTATAGGAATTCTTTTTATATTAAGGAATAAATCCTATGGGATGTGTATTAGAGTTATTTTTCTCAACCTGTTGCTTGTCTTTTAACTTTATTATTTTCTTGGCAGGCAATTTTTTTTTTCACTTTTATACATTAAAATTTATTAATTCATTTTTGTGGCCTCTGGGATTTGTATCAAACTTAAAAAGCCTTTTCACACATTAATATTATATAGAAATTTTCCTGTATTTTTGTCTAACATTTTATGGCTTCATTTTTTATGTTTAAATCTTTGATCCATCTGGAATGTATTAGATACAAAGAGCAAGGTAGTGGTCCAATTTTATTTTAGTTTCCCAAATGGCTGCCAAATGGTCTAAAAACCATTTTGTATTTCATCTTTTTTAGATAATGCTTGGGAGCACAGTAAGAAACCTATAAATTGGCATTACCTTTAGCTTCAGATCCCTCAAAAAACCCATCCCACATAGTACACGGAAAGTACCATTATTATCCCATAAGAAATAAGCTTATACAAATAGTATGTCCATGAATAAAATGCACTGGACTGAGATTAGTCCAAGTCTGGCCAGAAAAGTTTTGTGAGGCCTAAAACATAAATTTGCAGATGGGAGGAAAAAGGGTACTTTTTCAGAAAAATATTGTAAAATTACAAATACAAAATTACATATAAGCATGAATATTCATTTAGGATGAAAATAGAAATTGTAATACATTAAAATGTGAAAAGCTAATATAGTCTACAAACATTAGAAAATACAGAAAAATAAAATAGTAAAATAACATAATACTATGTTTATTAACTGCTTGACACAGGCGATTAAAAGTGACAAACGTCTATAATATTTTGGCTGCACATTCTTTGATGGCCTTTTCATATGACACTTTTATATACTTTAAAAATACTATAATTAAAATATTATAATCATAAATATTATAATATTATTTTACATAAAATATAGAAAAATAATTTGTTTTTCTTCTAGCATGTTTGATCAAAATTTGGCCTTTATTAATGGCAGTTTAGTAATTTTCTTCAGCATTTAAATGGGATATAGATATTGTCATGTAACTTTGTAGAATTTTTGTCAAATGTGGGGAATCAAGTTTATTTCACATACGAATTGTAAGATTTCAGTTCATTTCAATTTTCCTTGTTCAGTGACTAACCTTAACTCTTTGAAATGATGATGTTCATTAACCAGTTTGTCACCATTGTCCTTTCTATAGGTCTTAGATGAGTTTTGCATAATTGTTTTCTGTCCACTATTTTATATCAAATTGCTAAGTACTATAAATCTTTTCCCAGTATGTTCATATGATTTTGTGATCTTGGTCAAATGAATTATCAAATAATCCAAGAATGTATTCATTACTACTATTAAAAATGTATCTCTTCCTCTTACTGAATTACTGCACTGCTTTTAAAGTGATCCAATTTATTTTTTTTTAAGAGACAGAGTCTCACTTTGTTGCCCTTGGTTGAGTGCCATGGCATCACAGCTCACAGCAATCTCCAACTCCTGGGCTTAGGCGATTCTCTTGCCTCAGCCTCCCAAGTAGATGGGACTACAGGCACCCGCCACAAGGCCTGGCTATTTTTTGGTTGTTGCAGTTTGGCCAGGGCCAGGTTTGAACCTGCCAGCCTTGGTATATGGGGCTGGCACCCTACTCACTGAGCCACAGGTGCTGCTGGTGATCCAAAATTTTGAAGGATCAGATTATTTTTTGGTGTCCTTGCTCATCTGTATTGCTTTACGTCATATATTGTTAACTTTTATATAAACTTTTTGCTTGATCAAAGACAAAATTAAAACTGAAATTACAAATTATATAGAAAATAATGAAAAAGAGAATACTCTATTAGAAAACAAATGAGTCACGGCTAAAACTGTACTCTGAGGAAAATTAATATCCTGAGGGCCGAAAACACATGGGCTTTATTTCAAAGAAAGCAGTAAAATAACGATGATAAAATAAAACAAAAGGTGATAGGAACTGATTAATAAAAACAAATGTTTAAATTATTGAGATGTTTAAAAAATTATGGAAACATAAATAAAACCTCTGAGCCTACTGTTTGAAAAAGATCAATAAAATGAATAAATGTCCCCCAAACCTAATTAAAAGTAAAATTATGGAAAAGAGAAACATGAGATTGGGATTAAGAAAATAGATATTATGAAGAAATATTAGGAATATTAATATTAGGGAGAAATATTAGGAAT